ATAGTGCACATTTTCTATGACTCTAAACACTTCTCATATATGCATAGATTTCCCAAAAAAATTCGCCTCAAAAGATAAGCAAAGAAAACTTTTTAAAATGTGTTATTTTGAGAGACAAAAAGAGAGCCATCCTCAACTGGTTCACTCCTTGCATGCCTGCAATGGCCAGGGTTAGGCCAGTCTAGCCCCAGAAAACTGCATCCAGGTCTCCCTTATTGGCAGCAGGAACTCAACTACTTGAGTCTGTAGCAACATCTGCATTAATTAGCAGAAAGCTGGAATCTAGAACTGGGGCTGAGTATCAGCATCATCATGCACTCTGATGTGGGATGCAAACCTAAATGCCTGTCCCTAAACTTAGATCTTCATTCCATTTTCTGTGGAGGTTTTGAAGAATTCTCATATCAATCTTCCCAGATGAAAAAAAAAATCTAGTCAATTGTGTGACACATCTGCAGCTTGACGAAGGCGTTCCAACTGCGTTGGAAGAATTCCCTGTGCTGTCACCCACAGGCTGGCCCCTTCCGGTCAGCCTTACCTGTTTACTCATATCTAACCAGTGACCCTTAAGACTTTTGCTGCAAATCTGTGTGGCTTGTGGCTTTATTAATTGGATTGTACCATGAAAGAATCTTTAAAGAGAGAGAGAGATAGAATGGAAAAACTAGGAATTACTTCTCACCTTGTTAAGGTGAACATTAATTGAGGTTGTTTTAACACAGTCTTTATTAGAAAAACACATTGAAATAATTCAAAGTGAAGGAGAAGAAGAGTCACAGAAACATGGAGTAGGTAACAGGCCGTGAGTTGTACTTATCTGACCTGAGATCCTTCCAGAGCAGGAAGACCACTTTCCCTGGAAAAGCCTCTCCCTTCTGAGACATCTCCAACGTTTAAGATGATGCTTTGGGGTAGGCATTTGGTATCGCCAATAGGGCGCACTTGGGATTCACACATCCTATGCTGGGCTACTTGAGTTTGAATCCTGACTTTGTACTCCCCTCTAACTACCTGCTAACACGCACTCAGAAACAGTGACTGCAGGAGCTGGGACCCTGTCACCCACGTGGAAGACATGGAGTTAGTCTTTAGTCAGCTCTTGGTTTCAACCTAGTTGAGTCTTGGCCATCGTAGGTATTTAGTAAGTGAACCGGTTAGTGGTTGATCTCTATCTATTTCTGCCTATCTGTCTGCATATTAAGGAAATAAAGTGAATACATAATTTAAATGATTAATTTAAAATCTATCACCTATCTGTCGTCTGTGAGAGCTGGTTCAGCTTTTTGAAGCAATAGAGAACAAGCATATGAGAACAGATTAGTGTGTATCATACCAATCTTGTTTCTCTACCTGACATGGTTATGACACCCACAATTATCTTTATCGCAATAATTATTATGGAGGGCTTAGCTTCAGCATAGGCGCCGATAGAGGTAAAGAGTACAGGTAGCCCAGGAGAAGGTTCTAACAGCCTTATCCACATAGTCAAAAGGTCCCAAATCAAACCTTGTGAATCTCCAAAATTTTTGAGCCTGTTGCTTTGAAATTGGGTATTGATGGGGATCGTTCATCAAAGGTTGTCTTGAGAACTAAGTGAAGGAATGCATGGAAAGCTCTCAGCGCCTTGCTGAGCTCTTACTGAAAGCTCAGTGAAGGTTAGCTGGGATCCTGCTGCTACCCTTTTAGGCTGCCCCCTCTGAAGACCTACTCATCTGGTCTTAGTTGATGAGGATAAAGAACCTTGGGGGCCCAGCGCGATAGCGTAGCAGTTAAAGTCCTCACCTTGCACGCACCAGGATCCCATATGGGCGCCCAACTTGCCATCTAGCTCCCTGCTTGTGGCCTGGGAAAGCAATCAAGGACAGCCCAAAGCCTTGGGACCCTGTACCTGCGTGGGAGACCTGAAAGAGCTCCTGGCTCCTGGCTTCGGATCAGCTCAGCTCCAGCTGTTGCAGTCACTTGGGGAGTGAATCATCGGATGGAAGATTTTTCTCTCTTTCTTCCTCTCTGTGTATCCGCCTTTCCAATAAAAATAAATAGATCTTTTTAAAAAAAAAAAAAAAAAGAACATGTGGGAAAACCAGGAAAGCAGGAAACAATGGTTATTGAAAGCACAAGGAAACTGAGCGGCACGCGTCGGCTCCTCATCTACGGCTTGAGAGCTGGCCGCCCTGGTCCTCTTCGCTTTAGTGTCCGCCATCACTGTGACTTTGCCACTCTCTGTATCTGCTCCCTCAGCTCCAGCCGGGATCCTGCTGTCTACTCTGTCTCCACTGAATCCCGTGCCATGCATCTCTCAATCTAAGAGACCAGCTGTGATTGGTTTGCCCATTTATGGTCCCATAGAAGCCCCTGTGGAGTAGAAGTCTCCATTTTCTAGGCCACATCATCATCCTCTGATTGACTGCCTGTGAGTGAGGTGGCTGGTTGGTCCATGCAGCATAGTCAGGGTGGAAGAGACCTAACTGGTGATAGAATGAATACCCAGATTATTATATAACAGATTATGAATGTGCTTTACATTGTCCACACTCTTAACCTACCATATTTTCTCTACCTTGATTGTTTTTGCTACTTCCGTATCTTCCTAAATAGTATTTCAAGTCTCATTATACTGTTTAAGCTTTTGTAAAATAGTGCAAGGTTTGCCCAGCATCAGTTGTTAACAATCTGCAACCCTATTGTGTGCAAAGTGCTGTGGCTGCCACTCCATAAACAGTCAGGTCTTGCTTAATGGCCAACCTAGGTCCTGAGAAATGTTATTAGGTGAGTTCAGTACTGTGCAAATATACACAAACTAGGGCAACTGTGACATCATGAGGTGATAGAATCTTATCAAGCCACTATTGTATATGCAGTCCTTTGTTGGTGGCCATGCTACAAGACATGTGACTGTATAATGGGATTGTTTAAATGACATAACAGCCCTCCTAGATAAGCATCAGTGTCTCCATTTTATAAACAAGGAATCTGAGACTCAGAAAGCTTAATTGACTTTCCCCATACCACACAGCTCTAAATTCCAGGGAGGAAAAAAATTAGTTTTTAGGAATAGCTAATATTTCTTCAGTGTCTTACACATGTTTGCCAAGTTAATCCTTTCAAAGTCCTAAAATATAAATACCTTCAAGTCCCGGAGTGGGAATTAGGAGAGGCTCAGACACATCTGCTCCTCTCCAGCTTCCTGCCAGCACAGATCCTGGGAGACAGCAATGGCTCAAGTATTGGGGTCCCACCGCCCTTGTGGGAGAGCTAGATTGAATCCCTGGCTTCTGGTGTTTGCACTGGAGCAGGCACTGGGATGTGAAGCAGTGAAAGACGCTCTCTCTCCTCTCTCATTCTCCCTCTCAAATAAATAAATAATTTTAAAACATCATCATGACTATTTTAGAAGAAGAAGCTAAGTCACTTGCCCAAAGCCACACAACTAGTAACTGTTGGAGGTCAGACTCCTACACAAATTCTTGCTAATTGTAAAGCCAAATTTCCCCCCCCCACACCAACCTGCCAACTCTTCATTCCCTCACTGCCTCTCAGCTTAGATTTCCCTTCTCAGAACTTAACCTCCCTCAGTCTTCATTAATCTCACTCATCACTGAGATAAACACTTGTAAGTAAAAAATAAAAAAAAAATATGTTCTCCCTCAGGAACTTCCCTTGATGAGTCAAGGTTAAGGCGTGGAATGTTTCCAGTAGTTTTACTATCTGGGTGACAAAACCTTTCAGCTGTGTTTGTACATCAGCTGTTTCATTGTGGTTGGTGGGGTGGGGCATAGTACTTGCCCCAGCCCTATCTGGATTTTGGAACACCCAGGATAAATTTGCCTCACCTCCCAGCGATGTAAGACCGTTGTGTGTGTGTATGTGTGTGTGTGTGTGTGTGTATCTGTTTTGGGGTTTTTTTTTTTTTGTTATTTTTTTTCCAGGCCTGAGCTCTGTTGCATTGTGTCTCTTCATGCATTATTCATCCAGCCAGGCTCCAGAACAGGAGGGAAACTCCAGGGCCCCAGCTAGCATGATCACTCACTGTCCAGCACTGGTCTTTCCCTGCTGCCCTCATCAGGGCAGGAGGATAACAAAGTTTTTGGGCACTCAGCATGGTCTCCTCCTCCCTGGCAAGGAGCCCTCTGAGCTCTCCTAGGAGAGGGGCCTGCAAACGGTCGTCTCACAGATTAAACAAATAAAATCCTGGAAAGGGGATGGCCTAGCGAGCCCCCAGAATGCCCTTATTTGCATAAGAAAAGGGCTGTATTGAGGGCTGCAGAGAGCTTGGCCTCAAGCCCAGGGAAAGCCTGGAAAGATGAGAGGGAAGGAGGGTGGGTATGACTGAAAACTCAGTCAAGGGGGTTAAAGTAGCTGAAAGCCACTGAGCCACGGAAGCCTTAGAGGTTAGGGGGCTTGCTCAGCCACAGTGCTTTCCACTCTGAAAGCTCACCTGGGCTTTGCATGAAGCTGTTGGCAGCTCTTTTGTGTATCGAAAGAAGGAGCAACATGGTTAACATACTTGGAGTTGTCCTTGGATAATCTTTGGGATTTCTCTTTAAATCAGTGAATCTGCAGACAAGCGTGAGTAGGTCTACATTATGTACAACAGAAGTAAGAAAAGGGAGAGTGTCTGATAGAGTGATTCCAGCATCCTGCTCACGAACCCTTGTGAGGCAGCAGGTGAGGATGGCTGAAATCTGTGGGTCTCTGCCACCCATATGAAAGATAAGCATAGAGTTCCTTGCTGCTTGCTTTGGCTTGGCCTTGCCCTGGCTGTGGGCACTGTACGCTTTTAGGGGCGTGAACCAGTAGATAGAGTTCTCTATGTCTCTGTATCTCTGTCATTCAAATAACATGAAAACCAATAAAGAAACGTTTTTGAAAAAGGAGCAACAAAAGCACGCCATCCTTTAGTTTCTCAAAGTTCTCTTACTTCTAGGGAACACTAAGTAAGGAAATGAGATCATGCCGGGAGAAGACAAACCTAAGAAATGAACTTTTGTGCTGTTTTGCAGGTTTTACATTGAGAGCATTTCGTTTTTAAAGGACAAAACCACCGTGGAGCTGTTTTTCCTGAATGCCAAGGCCTGTGTGCACAAGGTAAGGAACCCGCTGGCCCTGTCCTCAACAGGACAGCTTGCAGTGGCAGCTGGAAACGGGCTTGCCTGTGTCTTTGTGGTCACACTCTGCCACTGACATTTCCTCTCTTGCAAAGACAACAATGGTGGCTCAACCCAAGTTCTGAGTGGTGAGGAAAACGATTCACACGCAATTTCTACTACTCCCAACATAGCTAGCATACCACGCAGGATGGCACAATGCCAGTCGACCAGACTGAGATGGAGCCTTCTTGGGCCAGAAATCCTTGGCAACAGGGTGTGCTCTACCTTTACCCTAATTCAGAATCAATGTTGGGTAGGGCCCCACTACCTTGAGATTCCTGTACACAGTGCCACCTTACATTAAAGGACTCAGGGTTGCTCATGCTCACATACTTTCAGGCAGCACTTTAGTTGCTGTAGTGAAAGACTGAGTTTTTGTTTTAGTTATTATTTATTTATTTTATTTACACCAATCAAGAACAGATTAACTTTTAAAAATTCAATAAACTTGCCTTGCCCAGAAAGATGATCTTGTGCTGAGATGCTTGTCGTTAACTTACTGTTCACGTGTTTAAACACTTAACCCTCTACTTTTGTCTTACCTCCTGACACACTACCATTGTCTGAAAGGCCTCCACTCTGGCCTCCTTGGGCCACAAGGTTGGCAAGGGCATCTTGGCTACCAGACTGACTGCTGAGGTATTACAGAGCTTGTATAGCAGCAAACTTCACAAAGTTTATGAAGAAATGGAATCACAGGCCCGGCACAGTGATGCAGTGGTTAAGGTCCTCGCCTTGCACGCCCGGGATACCATGTGGGCGCCAGTTCTAATCCCGGCAGCCCCGCTTCCCATCCAGCTCCCTGCCTGTGGCCCGGGAAAGCAGTCGAGGACAGCCCAAAGCTTTGGGACCCTGCACCCGCGTGGGAGACCCGGAAGAGGCTCCTGGCTTCAGATCGGCATAGCATCGGCCCGTTGCGCTCACTTGGGGAGTGAATCATCGGATGGAAGATCTTCCTCTCTATATATATATCTGCCTTTCCAATAAAAATAAAATAAATCTTTAACAAAAAAAAAAAGGAATCACATGGCCAGTTGGTGCACATGGTGGTTGGCCTAGCATTCAAGATGCCCATGTTGGGGCTGGAGCTTCATACTGGGTGAAGGTATTTCTAGCATCCCATATTGCAATACCTGGCAGCTCCACTCAGTTCCACTTAAAATCTGTCTCCCTGGGCCCAGCACAGTGGCCTAGTGGCTCAAGTCCTTGCCTTGAACATGTCAGATCGCATATGGGCACTGGTTCTAATCCCAGCAGCTCCACTTCCCATCCAGCTCCCTGCTTGTGGCCCGGGAAAGCAGTGGAGGACAGTCCAAAGCCTTAGGACCCTATGCCCATGTGGAAGACCCAGAAGAAGCTCCTGGCTCCTGGCTTTGAATCGACTCAGCTCTAGCCGTTGCAGTTACTTGGGGGGTGAATCATCTGATGGGAGATCTCCCTATCTATCTCTCCTCTTCTCTGTATATCTGACTTTGCAATAAAAATAAACATATCAGCTTAGACCCCTGCCACCTACATTGGTGGCCTGGATAGAGTTCCAAGCTTTTGGATTCCACCTGAGCTAAACTTGGCCATGGCAAACCTGTTGAGGACTAAACAAGTCACTAGAAAGTGGACAGAAGACCTCTTTCTTTCTTTTCTTTTCCTGTGTCTTGCCTTCTTCCTCTGTCACTCTTTCCTTCAAATAAATGAATAAATGTAATTAAAAAAAAAAAAAAAGAATAGATGCCTGTGTTCCATGTCAGATGCCCAGGCACCAGCTCCTAACTCCAGCTTCCTGCTCATGCTGGCCCCAGGAGGTAGTGGTGATGGCTGAATGTTGGGGATCCTTACACCCATGTGGAATTGAGCTTTGTCCCAGCCCGTCCCAGTCCAGCCCCGTGAATGCAGGTTTTTTGAAGTGGATCAGTGGATGAAGCTTGTCAAATAAATAATAAGTATTTTTAAAAAATGATAAACCTCCAATCCTGCTGACATTCCTCCTCCTTTAAGAAAAAGAGAAGTATGTTTATTTTAGTGCAAAAACTTTTGAAAATGATATATAGTTTTTTATAATCCATATTGTCTATGAATCTTTTAAATTTTTGTTTGTTTGTTTCTTTGTTATTTGTCTGAAAGGCAGAGGGACAGAACAGTCAGGCAGAGCCTCCCATGTCTTGAATCATTCCCCAGATGCCCACAGCAGCAGGGGCTGGTGACAGGAGCCTAGACCACAACCTGCAGCTTCCCGGGATGCACATTGACAGGAAGCTGGAGCAGAAAACAGGGTCTCAAATCCAAGTGCCTCAGTAAGGGATACCGGCATCTTAAACAGTGTCTTAACTGCAGAATGACAGGCAAAAGAGAGAGAGAGCTTCTCTCTGCTAGTTCATTCCAAATTCCTGTAGTGACTACACCATAGCCAAGCTGAATGTAGGAGCCAGGAACTCTGTCCAGGCCTTCTGTGAGGACGGCATGGATTCAAGGAGCATGACCTGCTGCCTCCCAGGGACTCTGATACGCGTTATAGGTGGTCCCAAGTGGCGGCTTAACCAGTTTTGCCACAACATTGATTCTTCTAGGAACTTTTTTAAAGATCATGCATATGTATGTATTTCAAGTCTTTTTTTTTGCACCAAATTAAATGCATCTTTTAATTCTATTTTTCTTGAACCTTTTGAAGTCTCTTTGTATAGGATTCATTATTATTCATGGCTTTTGGCACTGACCAGGAGTCTTGAAATATATTCCTTGTGGCCATGGGTGGAACTTCTGAATGTCCCATAACCACAGATCTGCTTTTTCTCATGATTGAATAATTTATATTTTATAGGCTTTATGTTATCAGTATATAATTTTTTGTCATATCTCAATGAGTATAATTGTTTTGAGATTCACCCATGATGTGTCAATAACCCCATCCTTGTACTGCTGAGTAGCTAGTGTTCCGTTGGATGGATATACATCAGATTGTGTATCTGTTCATCTGTTGATGGACATTTACACAAGTTTGGGCAACACATAAAGCTTCTATGGCAATTAATGTAAAAGTCTGCACGGGTCTGTGCTTTCTTTTTACTTAGTAAATATTTAGGATTAGAATAGTGAAATTGCGTGATAGATGTATTTTCTGGGTTTTTTTTAATGTACATTTGATTTAACAGTGTAAGAGGCACTTTTTTTTTAAAGGCTTATTTATTTTTATTGCAAAGTCAGATATAAAGAGAGGAGGAGAGACAGAGAGGAAGATCTTCTGTCCATTGATTCACTCCCCTAGCAACCACAACGGCCAGAGCTGAGCCAATCCAAAGCCAGGAACTTCTTCTGGGTCTTCCTCGCGGGTGCAGGGTCCCAAGACTTTGAGCTGTCCTAGACTGCTTTCCCAGGCCACAAGCAGGGAACTGGATAGGAAGAGGGGCTGCCAGAATTAGAATTGGCACCCAAATGGGATCCTGGCACGCTCAAGGCAAGTACTTTAGCTCCTAGGCTATCGCGCTGGGCCCGTATTTTCTCCTTTTTAAGATACTGCCAAACTGTTTTCCAAAGTGGTCGTGCTCTTTTAAATTCCCACCAGGAGACTCAGAGTTCATGCTCCTGGTTTCATTTTGTATTTGTGATTTGCGTTTTCCTGAAGGCTAATGATATTAAGTTATTGTTTACCTTCAATATATATTGTTTGTGATTATTTTGGGCCTGTTTTCTTTGGGTTATTTTCTCAGTTTTAGAGCATATGTACTCTAGATATAAGTACTTGATAAATTAGTTTGGATCGTAGATATTTTCTCTCAGTCTATGGCCTGTTTTTCATTCTTTGTTTGAAAAAGTAGGATTTTGTCTTCAAGAAGTCCAGTTTATTGATTTGTTCTTTGTGGACTGTGTATGTGAGTTTATGTCTCAGAAATCTGTGCTTAACTCCAAGTCACAAAGATTTGTCCTGTGTTTTCTTCAAGATGTTTTAGAATTTTAGGATTTACATTGTAGTGTGTGATCTGTTTTCAGTTAATTTTTGTAGATGACACAGAGTATGGGTTGAAGTTCATTTTTTTGCTTGCGGATACTCAGCTGTTCCAGCAGTCTGTTTGAAAACACTCCCCTTCATCTGCTGCATCAGCATTGGCTTTTGTCAAAGATGAACTTTCCGTATAGGTGTGGGTTTATTTCTGGACAATTTGAAGCTGTGCCTTTGATCTGTTGGTCAACTATTATGCCAGTAATATTGTTTTGATTTTTGTAGCTTTATAGTGTATCTTTCTAAAGAAAAAAAAAAGATTTGATTTATTTTCATTGGAAAATCAGATTTACAGAGGGAAGGAGAGACAGAAAGACCCTCCATCCGCTGGTTCACTCCCCAAGTGGCTCAATGGCCATAGCCGAGCTGAGCCAGAGCCAGGAGACAGGAGCCTCCTCTGGGTCTCCCACATGGGTACAGGTTCCCAAGGTTTGGGGCTATCCTCCACTGCCTTTTCAGGTCACAAGCAGGGAGCTAGAAGGGAAGTGGAGCAACTGGAATATGAAACAGTGTCCATATGGGATCCCAGCACATGCAAGGCAAAGACTTCAACCACTGGGCTACCACCAGGCCCCCTGTAATGTATCTTAAAATCAAAATAACCTTCAACTTTGTTTTGTCAAAGTTTTCTGGCTATTTATAGGTTTTTGGATTTCTCTAAGAATTTTAAATTTCTCATCAATTTTGTTCGCAGGAAATGTAGAATGGAACTATAATATTAGCTCCTGATTTGGAATTTGGGTAGATACCTTTAGGCTATGCTGTGATCTTTTCTCTATGAATATTCTACAGCTTGTTTGAAGTGTGTGACTGTGAGTGACTGTGAGTGACTGTGAGTGACTGTGAGATTTTGAGGACTGCATCAAATCTATGGATCAATGTGGGGAAAATTGACAACGTAACAATATAGAATTAGCAAACACATGGACAAGGTATATTTCTATGTTTAT